ATAGCAGTTAAACTCTTTCTTTATATGCCACATGAAATTGACATGTCATTTTGGCCTTACCACATAATATTTATATAAAATGGAAAGATATTCGAATTCATAAACATCTAATCCGACCCATAAATCAGCTCCTTTTAAATATACCACCCGACTCATTTTTAATAATTTTGTTTACTTTTTATTATTGCGGTAAATCCCGAAAATGAGTAATTGATTAATAAAAAATATAAAATTAACGCCAAAAATTCACAAATAAATATAGTAACCTTAAATACATTTCAATTTTTTTTAGATTTTTATTTTTTGATAAATCTCAAAAATGAGTAATTGATTAATAGAATATTAGTGAATTGTTGAAAAAAATAAAAATTTATGGGTTGAAAAAAATAAAAATTAAACAAAATTGTTGAAAATTAGTCGGATAATTTATTTAAAAGGGGTTAATTTATGGATCGGATTAGGTGTTTATGAGACCGAATATCTTTTCATTTTCATATAAATGTTATGTGGTGATGCCAAAATGACATGGCAATTCCATGCGGCATTTAAAGAAATAAAAAATGAGTTGGATATGTCCTACATGACAACTAACGTCCATAAGGGCATATTTGGACCAAAAGTTGGACGGCGAGGGCATGAGTGAACCAAACTTAAAACGGAGGGTATATCTAAACCATTTTGAATAGCTTAGGGGCATATTTAACCATTTTTCCCTAATGATAATAATATATATATATATAGAGAGAGGAAATTGTATACAATGACAAACTAATAAATTAAATTATATGCTATAACCATACTTTGATTTAATTGTACCCTTTAGCAAACTGTTCGTCAGTCACCTCTCCCTCAAACTCTCGCTCGCCCTCTTCTCTCTCGCTCCATCTCTCGCTCGCCTCCTATCACTTTTATACAAGCATAAGTGTATTAAATGTGTTTATGTGTATATAAAGCGAGAAAAAATTATATATATATATATATATATATATATACATATATTTTCGTTCTTCTCTCTCCCCTCTCCAAGATCTAGCTCGCCGCCCTTGCCTCTATTGCTTATACAAACAGAAACGAATTGTATAAATTGTGTTTCTATTTGTATAAAGCGAGAGAACATTGTATATACACTTGCAAATACATATATCTTCGTCCTATACACTTAAAATTATACAATACAAATATTTCTTTACCCAATTTTTTGTCTTTTTCTCTTTTTCATTTTATACACACACAAATTTTATACAATTGATTTGCATACAACTACGAATTATACAATTAGTTTCTTTTTTATATGTATATCTTATACAATTGATTTTGTTTGTGTATGTATAACGAATTATATATATTTATGTTTGCTATGGAGCGTAATTATGCAAACTTTGTTATAATATACAAATATGAATTTTATGTTTACACATAATATGATATTGAAAATGAATAATATGATATTGAAAATGAATAGCTTGTGCTCAGTGAGGAAATATACAATATTTTATGTAATATGTATATATACATATAATCATGAAAATATACAAAAAAAACAAGATTTATTAGTTTGCTTTAGCAATTAAGCAAATTTTATAAGAGACATATAAACAAATGAAAAATGATTTTAATGTATAAAACATATTATTTAATTCATATTAATCCATCAATTTCAACCCAATTAAACATCAAGGAGACTATAATTAACTCATTTATTGCATGATGATTCAGTTTTGTTAAATCACGTCAAATTAAATTGAACTCACTTATTTAAAACGTTACACTTAAATTCACTAGAGAGATAATATCGAAATGATTTCTCTCCACTGATTTCTTTAATAATACTCCAATTCCATCACTCTCTACGAGTTTTTATTTTCATCAAAAACTGAACATTTTGTATTATTGCCCAAGCCAAAAATTACTCATGAATAAGCCTGGACCATGAATTTCGTATCATCCCCAATATTCTACCAGATGATGAACATTCAGGAACTTGTAGACAGTCAAGTGAAATTCAATCCACGAAATAATTGCGTAGTTGTGGTAAATTTTGATACTGTTTTTGATTTCAGAGGGATTGCTTTTGCAGCTGATTCAGGTGATAAGCAAATCTGTTTGCGTTACAATGCCATTAGATATTGAGGAGATAGTGTTTGATGAAAGTCTCCAGCGAAATGAGTTTTGAGTTACAATGCCAATTTTGACATCTGAAGCTTGTTGTAACTGATGATACATCTGTTTTACCGTGAGATTTTCGATGTCTTTTCAACCAGCCATCCTTAGTCGATTTTAGGGATCTAGCAATGTGTGAGTGCATGAAAAATGGCTTATCCACTTGTTATTATTGGTTCAAATTTGTGCAGCATTTATTTCAGTTCATTCTCTTCGATCGTGTTCCGGGAAATGCATGTGGTGCTTTGAGTTTGTTTTCATGAGTTTGAGTTTGCAAGGCTTTTACATGGATATGTTATCTTTGGTAGATTCTAGATAGTCATTTGCAATGCAAATCTGTTCATTGATATGGATTCCATCTGTGGGGGTTCTGCTATGTTCAATGCTAGTCACTTTGTTTTGATGGTTTCTCTCAAGAACAAGATTTCTTACTCAAATTTCATCCCTTATGCTATTGTAATACTTGAGAAATACAATATTGTTACATGGATAGCTACGAAACGTGCAACTTATTCAAGTATTAACTTACAACTGAGTGAAATGGTCAAGATAACTTACAGGGACAAAGCTTATTAGTATTGGTGTCGTACCATATGAACTCATTCGACCAGATTTATGTAGGATGTTCCCCAGCTATGCCTCTTCTTTTAACATATATGTTGCCTTCAGTGAACATATATATGGCGTGAGAAATTCGCTTCTTCTATGGCACTTGGTTTGGCTACTTGGCTTGCTAGCTTCCAGGAGATACTTCAGGAATTCTTCAAGTACCCACACAAGTGGTCTTAAACGGCGTAAGGAACAAATAAAGCAGTTGGTGAACACACATTTTGATCGCTTTGTACCTTGCAAAACAATGATTTATTGTATGCAAGAGTTCAGCTTAGTTTTTCATTGTGCGTTTGAGTTGCTGTGCGCAAGTTTGGTGCAGAAAATGTTTCCAATATTACTTCACTTCTCTAGTACCACCCATGAGCACATTCATAACAGTGTATATGATCGGACACTAAGGCAGCACAACAAAGTAGAGTACAATGTTTTACCTTCTCCTATAGGAATACTGTCCATCAGGAGAGTACCAAAATTATGCAAGCATCAAAACTCTCTGTGAGGCTACAGAAGCTACTATTGGACCAGTAGCTGGCCACACGACTTTCTTGTGGAATTGCTTGTAGGACATTACTAAGGAGATTCTTTGGACATCAAAGTAGTGTCGGAAGGTCTCTCAAGGATTCAGAGCACGTGAGGAAATTCTTTGTCTATGTTTAGCTATGGGCTTTTGACTACGATGGTTTTGATGTTAAGGTTTTACTACTCGAACCTTGAGGACAAGGTTCTTATTGGGGATGGAGGTATTTTCATGAATGAGTCTGTACCAGTATTGGCAAAGCAGCCCAATAATAGATTAAATGACTGTATTTGGGATCCAAGTTGAATATAGTTACTTGTGGCAGCAAACTAGGTTTATGTGAATATTGTTGGAGTGTCTGTGTCTCCTCATTCCCGTTTTATCCGTTTTTCTCTTCCATTTCAGAGTCTATGCTTTTTATCTCCCTTCTATCCCTTGTTATTATTCCTTGTTATCCTTTCAACTACCTTGTTGATCTTAAGTTTTCTGTTGCTATAGTTAGTTTGAGCTTTCAATCAAAGGAATTGCTTCCCTGTTGTTGAGCGTGTAATTTATTCACTTCCGAAGATCTATCAAGAATGATTCAATTTCGCTAATTCAGGTGATATATTCTCTCATTTTTATGTATTATTCAAATAAGAGAATGAAGGAATTTGGAATAATGGGGTTATTGGGTACAGATGTAGATGAACCCTCACCGGAGGAAATGCCACCAAGCTATTTGCCATGTCTAGTTTGCCTCGTCAAGAGCTCAAGCAGGTTCTTTTCTTTTCTACTTCCTTTATTTCCTTAATGTCGTTCACTCGTACCCAATAACCCCATTATTCGAGTGAGACACTATCTTCATAGGTAGTGTATATATGATCAAAATATTTTTATTATAAATGATAGATCAATCCTCTTGACTTCTTCATATGTTTACTTCTTTATATTTTGAATCTCCCTACTGAAATTCTTGTTTCCGCCATTGCATGTACCTGTCCAGAAACCTTGTTTTTGATGTTTGTCAATGCTTCGGCAAGAGCTCAAGTGCAGTCTCTGCTTTGCCTTAAGTTTGTAACACTGATAACCTGTTAAATGATTTGAAAAAACTGAATACTCCTATAACTTCAATAATATGGTACACTGGCTACTGGGTGAAAATAACACCTTCTTTTACACATATAGCTTTGTGTTGTGCAATGAATTCACAGATTTACTGATTTTGAACAATTTTAGTTCTCAATCTCGCATAACACACACATATTCAGGCTGTGATCTGAAAATCCTCTAGACTTGGCGTGGAACTATAAAAATCTGTGTAGACTATGGTATTTTGAATTTAAACAATGTTAGCTCAAGTTAAAATGCATGTTTTTAGCTGACTTTACTATGCTCATATAGAAGACAAAACACTTGAAAGATGTTCAAATACGGTACGTACTTAAAAATATAATGAGGATTACAAAATGAGCAATTTCCTTTATTAAATGTAAAGATACAAATAGCTAATAAATTGAAAACCAAAGCTGAACTAGAGAGCCTTTGGATAAGCAATCCCCTTAAAGGCAAAATTCCATTTATTTTCATCATTACTGGGTGAAGACGGCAATACTAATTAACAATACAGGGACAACAAATTATCCCACCTTATCAAAAAAATTATAATACAGAGACAACAAATTAATAGGAAAAGAAAAGCTTCAAAGTTTTAGAGCCGGGATGATCCAATAGGATGGTGTATGACAATGTTATTGTAGGCATCAAGAGTCAGAAAATCATCCAGAACTGGTGCAGTGCATTGCCCTGTGAATAACTTGCAAGCCACCTTGTACATTCCCTTGTTGAATTTCTCCTTTCCAACTTCTCTCTCAATCCTAGCCATTTCTTCCTCAACCACTCTTCCAAACAGGTCTAAGTTCACTTTCACCCCAAGCCCATCTCCATCCAATTCCGCACCATATTTCAGCCACTGCCAATTCTGAACTCTGCTAATCTCAGCTGCGGCAGCTTCCTCCATGAAATTGTAAAGAGGGACACAACCAAGCCCTGTCAGCCAGGCTGCCAAGTACTGAATTCCCACTCGGGTGTTCAGCCGAAGGCACTCCAAGGTACAGACCCCTCTCGGCCTCTGCAGCAGGTCTTCTTCATCTAGGATGGATGCATCTTGGCGCTTCATGGAATGGATTTGGTTTGGGGAATTGCCCATGTTGTTAGTGAAGACTTCCATGCATGCTGGAACTAGGCCAGGGTGAGTAACCCATGTCCCATCATGCCCTGCCATCACTTCTCTTAGCTTATCCTTCCTTACAAGTTCCAATGCTGCCTCATTAGCTGCTGGATCATCTCTAATTGGAATATGAGCTGCCTGTTTCAAGGATCCAACACAGCTATTATGCATCATTTTGATCATGTACAAGAAGATTCCAAATTAACCTAATGCAGAAATTGGAGCCACACACTAACCGGCTTAGGATCTTTCATACATATCAACAACCACTAAAGTATTTCCTACTGTACACCTACATCGCTCCAATGGGGGAACGATCATGTGCATACTTTTTAATATCATATCATCCTACTAGAATGCAAATGTTTTCGTTTGGTAATATACATTTTATTTAAGTTCCTAATCAAAATAATACAAATATGCTTGTGTAAAATTATTTAAAGATCATAGAATTAAAAAAAGAAACTGAATTGATGTAGACATACCATGCCTCCCATAGCATGGACGCCACGCTTATGACAAGTGTGGATGAGCAAGTCGGAGTAACTCCTCATAAAGTGTTGAGCCATGCCAACTTGTGTCCTATCGGGGAGCACTCGATCAGGGTGACCCTGGAATGTCTTGATGTAGCTGAAAATGTAATCCCATCTACCACAGTTGAGGCCAACAGAATGGTCCCTCAGTTCATACAAGATTTCATTCATCTGAAACACAGCTGGAAGTGTTTCAATTAGGGCAGTAGCCCTAATGCTTCCTTTCTCAATTCTAACCCATTTCTCTGCCCTCTCAAAAACATTGTTCCATATTCTAGCTTCCCTGTTCAAACAAAACAAAAAGTGCTACATTTTCTTGGAATATAATTCTCAAGACTATAAATTTACTAACAAGAACACAACTAACCTGGAATGTTCCATTTTGGGTAGATAGAAAAAGGGTCCAGATCCTTGACCTTGGGCCTTGCGGAAGTTGGCATAGTTGTGGAAAAAGTAGAGGCCGAAGTCGACAAGGCAACCCGTGGCAGGCTCACCATCAATGAAGATGTGAGCTTCTGGCAAATGCCACCCTCTTGGGCGCACAAACAACTTAGCTGTCTGATCATTCAGTTTATACACTTTGTTTCTAGCTTGATCTTGGAATGTTATTGTTCTATTTACTGCATCCCTCAAATTTATCTGGCCTCTCATTAAATTCTCCCAGCTTGGTGACAGTGCATCTTCAAAGTCCGCCTGTGGAATATCATATTAGTGAATTCTATGAACTACATCACTATAGTATGTAGGAAGAAAAACAAAGTGCACATATTCTGGATATGCTTCCACTCCAAATTGAGGTTAAGTACTTACATAAAGGTGTAGTGCTACATTATTTTTTATTCAACTATTTTCTTCAATGTAATTCACACTGGCCTTTTCTTCGTTTTAGTTATATTAAAATGAGAGTTCTTCTATTCTAGTATTAACTTGGGAAGGGAGATGTGACAGGGGATATGGCATACCATGAAAACTTTAGCTCTAGAATTAAGGGCATCGATGACCATCTTCCTATCGACTGGTCCAGTAATCTCCACCCTCCGATCAGCCACAGCCTGCGGCACAGGAGCACAAACCCACTCTCCTTCCCTAATATACTTGGTTGTTGGATCAAAACCCGGCAAACCGCCATTATTGTACCTCATTTTGGCGTCTCTCCGGCACTCCATAGCATACTTGATAGGATTCCTGAATTCCCTCTGCAAACTAGCTACAAATTGCATAGCACCCCTTGTTAAAATCTTGGAAAATTCAGGATCATATCTTCCCCTAATGTCCACTCCATCAGGTACATCATAACCTATAATTCCACTGCTCTTTTTTGGAACAGTGGTTTTGGGTTGAGTGAATGTCTCTTCAAAGCTAGCCATTTTTTCTTTCTTTTGGTAATTTCAACTAAGAGTTAATATACTTCTTTCTTTTTTTTCTCTCTGAAGAGTCTAGGTAGCTGATGGCTGCAATTTATAGGGGGAAACACGAGCGTTTCACTGTTAGATTTAAAATTTATTTTCAAATATCTATTTAGCTATGAAATTTAAAGTCCGATGTTAAGATATTCTCAAGTTATCAAAAACTCAATTTAGATTAATTTTTGGATTTTTGAAACCTCTCCCTTACAATTTTTTTTTAAAAAAAATCAATTGAAATGCATGTTCGAACACAATTTTAAAATTTGAACTTAATAATTTATGATCAAATGGGAGGTTAAAGTTAATGAAATTCATAATAACGTGGATATCTAATGATTGCATGATTTTTTATTTTATTTTTATTTTTTTTCTGTTTTGGTTTCAATAAAAGAATAATAATAATATGTGGATAGCTAAGGATTTCATGAGTCCCCTTATAATATATTCAGCAAAGCTTATCAATATGTGATTGGTTGAAAGGCCCTTATCTTTTTTTTTGGTCCCCCTTTTTAATTCTATATTAATGTTTTGTCCCGTTAGGAAAGCTTGACGTAATTGATAAAGTTATCGTCATCTAATCAGAAGGTAACATATTCAATATGTAAAAATATTCTCTTATAAAATACAAGCTAAAATTACATACAATAAGACTACACGATAGATATTTATAATCCGATCTTTTCGTGAACCATATGCATAGCTAAAGCTCAAGGCATGGATGAGTCATTTTAGCTTTCAAAAGTCTTTTCCAAATCCAAGGAGCCAAGAGGTAAATTAGTCCATCCCAGTGAGGGATGCAGCTAGTCGATAATACATTCATATCAATCCAGTGATTCGAGCATTGAGTATATAGGAGAACATGTGAATCCAATTAGTGGCAAACTTACATATTAAAAATGAGAAAAAAGTAAATTTTGTAATTTTTTTTTCTTCCTAAAATTAGATATTTTACGTGTATATTTTTTAAAATTTATTTAAAATATGTGCCTGCATCTAATATCTATGCTTTAAAAAAAGCTAATTATTGATGTATTTGGTTGAATATTGAGTTATTTACTCCGAGGACAAGAAATCAATTCCACTTGATACATTTTTTTCCAAGTTAGTATTTCAGATGGTCATTCAACTTTGATTAGTTCATTTAGAAAGTCGACTTTGAGTCATGCACTTTGTTTTATAACTTAAAAGCCATTCAACTATTGATATTTACTCATTAAATTTTATTGAAATCTGATTTTTATTTAAAATATCTATTTTACTTATTGATCCGCTGCATTATTTAAGTACAATTTTTTGAAAAACGTACATTAGCAATTGACGAAAAATTTTGCTTTTTCCATTCTAGCAATTGTCGTGCAAGAATTAAATATACTGGAAATTTATCCAAAAAAGAAAGGTTGGAATTGATGAAGTAATTAAAGAGTAATCAAAAAGACGCACAGCAGCAAATACCATCTTTTATTGTTTTTTCTTTAAGAAAATAGTTTAAAAAAAATTGTATTCAACAAAATTTAATAAAATAATTAAAATGAGTATTTTTTTAAAAAAAATTAGTTCAAAAACAAAAATTGTATTCCAATAAAATTTAATGAAAGAATTAGATAAATTAGTTGAATGACTTTCTAAGTAAAATACCAATAATTGAGTGAGTTTCTGAATAAAATATCAATAATTGAGTGGCTTTCTAAGCGAAATGTCAATAATTAAATGACTTTTTGAGTTATAAAACAAAGTTAAATGACTTTATTCTTAGTAGAATATTCAAAATGAAGTAATGAAGTAACCATATGAGAGAGTATCTCTATTTTTTCCTTTTCCTTTTGATGCTGCACTTATGTTCTAAAAATTCTAAACTCGTCTCTCGTGATAATAAAAAAAAACCTTTGGATATAGAAGAACACGTGAATTCAATTACAATATGAAAAAATTCTGAAGATTCATATTCTAAGAGTTTTAAATTAGCTTTTTGATTATTCAAGTACGATAAAAAAATAAGTTTGGGACCATATGCAAAGAATATGTGAAGGGGGAAATGTATGCCCTTTTTTTCCCCCTCAAATACTATGCTAAATTAAAGAATGTCACGTAAAATAAGTCGGAGGACGGAGAAGGGTAGATGACAGACCAATTATAGTAACACAAATAATTCTTGTTGAGGATTTAAAGATATATTAGAAGAAGAATATGGTGGATAAACAATAAGTACCCACAAATGTGGCCCATTAACATATTATGCCAGCTGCTTAGAAATTTCCAGTCCACTAAATTCACAAATCTACGTGTGATTGAGAGTGACAGCAACACAACCACACAAGAAACGAAACCGGACCTATACATACACAAATACAAAGACATCATTTGCGTATCATAAAAGATTCGATTCATTTCTTAAAAAACGCAAGATCTAATATATTTCGTTCAATTAAAATGTAAATTTTTTTTATGATAACAACTCGAGATGGACAACTAATTATAAGTGTTTCGGCTCTTCAATTCATAATACGTGGATAGCTATTAATTTCATAATTTTCTTTTATAATATGTGGACTTCTTTTTCTTTATAACAAGTGGATAGCTAATAATATTGTGATTTTCTTTATAAGAATATAATTGGAAAAGCTTATCGACATGTACTTGATATGTGCGTGGTAGAAAAGACCAAAAGCTTATCTATCTATCTATGTATGGTGTTGACTTCTTTCATTTGACCCTCTTTTATTTTGAGGTTTTGTTGTTTTATATTCACTTCATTTACTATCACACCCAAGTTATACATATAGGGTTGTTTAACATTTGAATAATTCCAATAAAAAAATGATTTATTTATATTTGATTCGATAACGGTGTGTGTGAAATAATTCGATAATAGATGATAATTTTGTAGGTTCATTATGTTTTACTACTCAAGTTGTACAACCAAAGCATAATAAGGTTCTTTGTATTCTTTCTATTTAATTCCCCTAGTATTCTGAATTCAGTAAAAAACTTAACACAAGTATCAAAGAAGATATATGCATGTTCTTATGCTATGCAAATAGAGAAGACCAAACCCCCTTGAAATTACAAGGTTCACATGTACTAGAAAAGTAGCACAAAAAATGGAACAGTAGTTTTTATTATTACAGGGAAATACACAATACAGATGACATATTGATTGAAAAACAAAGCTGAATAAGAGAGCCTTTGGATAATTAGCTATCTCCTTAAAGATAAGATTCCATTTGCTATCATTATTGTTGGGAAGATAGCAGTGACATTTGATTGATTCTAACAGCAAAAAAGCTTCTAAATTTAGAGTCGGGACGATTCAATAGGATGATACATGACAATATTATTATAGGCATCAAGAGTCAGAAAATCATCCAAGACTGGTGCAGTGCACTGCCTTGTGAATAATTTGCAGGCTTCCTTGTACATCCCCTTGTTGAGTTTCTCCTTTCCAACTTCTCTCTCAATCCTAGCCATTTCTTCTTCAACCACTCTCCCAAATAGGTCTAAGTTTACTTTCACTCCAAGTCCATCTCCATCCAATTCCACTCCATATTTCAGCCACTGCCAATTCTGAACTCGGCTAATCTCAGCTGTGGCAGCATCCTCCATGAGGTTGTAGAGTGGAACAGAACCAGCCCCTGTCAGCCAAGCAGCCAAGTACTGAATTCCCACTCGGGTGTTCAGCCGGAGGCCCTCCATGGTTCGAACTCCTCTTGGACTCTGCAGCAGGTCTTCTTCAATTAGTTCGGATGCATCTTGGCGCTTCATGGAATGGATTTGATTAGGAGCATTGACCATGTTGTTGGTAAAAACTTCCATGCATGCTGGAATTAGGCCAGGGTGAGCTGCCCATGTTCCATCATGCCCTGCCTTCACTTCTCTCAGCTTATCTTTCCTTACAAGTTCCAATGCTGCCTCGTTAGCTGCTGGATCATCTCTGATTGGAATTTGAGCTGCCTGTTTCAAGGGTACAACAAAGTCATTATGCATCGAATTTATCATGTAACAAAAATGATTACAAATTAACCTAATGCATGCTGATGCTTCCTTGTCCATTTAGTTGGCATTCATGTCGTTTTATTGAGATCATAGTCTTAGAAATAAAAATATGTAAAGTTAATAGCTAATTCATTGATACTGCCTTAGTTCGGGTTGGTTTCTGTAACTCAGAAACATAAAGTTTATATCGTTAGTAATCAAGAATCAACATGCCGCAGTGAACTAAAAAAACATGTTGATATTGGCATACCATGCCTCCCATTGCATGGACACCACGCTTATGACAGGTGTGGATGAGCAGGTCGGAGTAACTCCTCATAAAGTGTTGAGCCATGCCAACTTGAACTCTATCAGGGAGCAATCGATCAGGGTGACCCTGGAAAGTCTTGACATAGCTGAAAATGTAATCCCATCTACCACAGTTGAGGCCAACAGAATGGTCCCTCAGTTCATACAAGATTTCATTCATCTGAAACACTGCTGGAAGTGTTTCAATCAAGACAGTGGCCCTAATGCTT